CTCACACGCGCGCGCGCACACACACACACACACACTCACACGCTCACTCACTCACTCACACACGCACACTCACATTCGCACGCACGCACGCACACTCACACACACACACTCACGCACTCACTCACACACACACTCTCACAGACACACTCTCACAGACGCACCTACTCACTCACACGCTCACTCACACGCACTCACACGCACACGCTCTCACGCACACGCTCTCACACACACGCTCTCACACACACGCTCTCACACACACACTCTCGCACGCACGCACGCACACTCACTCACACACACTCTCACAGACACACTCTCACAGACGCACCCACTCACTCACACGCACACGCACACGCACACGCTCTCACACACACGCTCTCACACACACGCTCTCACACACACGCTCTCACACACACGCTCTCACACTCTCACTCACACTCACGCTCTCACACACACGCTCTCACACTCTCACACTCACAGACTCACTCACACACACTCTCACAGACACACTCACGCTCACTCACACGCTCACTCTCACACACGCACACGCACACACTCACTCATACGTGCGCACACACACATACAATCACTCACACGCTCACTCACTCACACGCTCACTCGCGCGCGCACGCACGCACGCACTCACTCACTCACACACTCTCGCTCGCTCGCTCGCTCACTCACATTCGCACGCACACTCACACACACACACACACACACACTCACGCACTCACTCACACAGACACACTCTCACAGACGCACCCACTCACTCACACGCTCACTCACACGCACACGCACACGCTCTCACACACACGCTCTCACACACACTCTCACAGACACACTCGCACACACACTCACACGCACACGCTCACATACGCTCTCACACACACGCTCTCACACTCTCACTCACTCTCACACTCACATGCACACACACACACTCTCACTCAGACACGCTCACGCACGCTCACTCACACAAACGCTCACGCACGCTCACTCACACACTCACTCACTCACACACTCACTCACACACTCACTCAC